TCCTGCTGCTGTTGATGGTAGTGATGATGATATTTATGATGATGGTGGTGGTGGTGGTGATGGGAATCATAGGGATGAGGATGATGGCGATGATGATGATAATCCTCTGGTGCCCAGTTGTTGAGCTTCTGCTTTATGCCAGGCCTTCATCTGGTTGCTTTCTACTATTTCATTTCATCCTCATAACAACTTCCCAATGTCAGGATAATTATCTCTGTTTTACTCATGAGGACTGTGAGCTAGAGAAAGGCTGAGTGGGCTCTCCATGGGCAGACATCCAGTCTGAACTGGACTTGAGCTTGAGCATGCCTCACTGCAGAGCCACCACTCTCCCGGGTGGACCAGGGCCCCTAACCTGTGGACCATGGGCCTACCCATCTCAGAGATGCTCCATAAATATCTATTGAACGAATATTGACTGAATGGATTCCTAAGGGATCAACACCTTAAGCCCAGAAGGCATAAATAACATGTCTCGAATGAGTAGGTGTAACCATTATTTAAATATACGTGGTAGTGCTGTGATAACTAAAATACAAGTTAATTGTAAAGTATTACGTTCATTGTGGCTTTTGTCTTATTCTTTATTTGCCCAGTGAAAAGATGCTAAGTGCATAGTTACGAGGAGTTTTGAGAAACGGTTTCACAGAAAAAGGAGTCCTGGTGCTGAAAGTGGTGGGAAGCATCATGCCATCCTGCATGGCACGTGCAAAATGCTTTGCCTGGCGTCTGGCACAGGATCACTCAGAGGAGGGAGGAAACCCACGGGGATGGGGATTGGGAGCCTGGGGCATTTGTCCTGCAGGTGTAAGACCTGAGCTGTCACTCTCAGTAGCTCTCTTTCTGTAAGAGCTGACACCAGCATCTAATAGCTTTCCCAAATGGCTATCCAATGCTCACATGAATGAATGAATAATGAAAGCAACAATGAGTGAGTTATGACGAACAGTGCTCAGGGAGCCCATGAGGGCATGTTTTCCCCAAGGAGTGCTTGAAAGTGAGAGTTTCTCAGCCTGAGAGCCGAAACAGAATGCAGGGCTGGTGGCTGGACTTGTGGCTCTGCAAGTGGGGTTATGAGGCTGGGGTTGCCTCCCTGGGGGAGTCTGATCTTGACCCGGTGATGACCATGTTGGAAGAGTGGAGGTGACTGGAGCTTGGCTCTGAGGCCATTCTCAGCAGGGCTGTGCTCACCATTTTTGGATGTATTTTTCCAACTCAAGTGTAAGCTGACAGATGGTGGTGGAATAATATTCTCACTTTCTCTACTTCCCACAGGCCTCCCTCCAACACAGTCCTGCAAGCTCTTAGAAATCTCTGACACATCTCAACCATGAGACCACGGCCGGCTTTTGGCAGGTAAGCTCCCCCCATCCCTCCCCATGCATCCCAGGACACAGAGCAATTTCAGCACAGCCCAAAGGCCACTGGGCTGTGCTTGTGGCCAGGAGGTAGGTGGGGATGACTTCAGGCTTGGCAGGAGAATGGAGCCCCCCATTCTGAGGAGATTTAAGGAAAAAGCTACCAAATGTCCGGAGTCCTGCATCTGGCATTTCTGCAAATGGCAGCATATGGCGGTGGGAACGTATCCTGGGATGAAAGCCAGGGAACTGGTTCTGACCCTAGGTCTGCCTTTACTGCTCAGAAAAATCTCCAGCAAGAACCTCCCTTTCTGGGTCTCTGTTTCCCTGTCGGAAAATGAAGGAATGAGACTCAGTGAACGGGGCAGCCCATAAGCTGGCCATTCCGGGCTCCCGCCAAGGCCACGGAATGGCAGAGAGAGGCATGGGGATGCCATTGCGGCTGTCCACCACTTCCCTGTCCGATTGCTCTCTGGACCTCACATCCACAGAGAGCCTGGGCTGGGCTGTGTGTGTGCTGTGCGTGTGCATGGATGCATTTGGGGGCAGGACCTGTGTCCCTTCTAGCAAATTCTGCTTGAACTCAGACTCAGACCTGGATGGTCACTACCCCTCTGCCTGCCCTCTCATGGCTGGGCAGAACACCGTGGTCACTAGAGGATGCAGTGCCCAGAAGGGCAGGGCAGAGCCTCCCCATGTGCTAAGAGCATGGGCAGGCCCGCAGCAGAATATGGGTGTGAAGATCAAGCTGGGTGAGGGGCAACACAAGGTGGGAGGCACTCATTAGAAAGGAAGGAGTATAGGGCCAAAGCTCATGGGCAGAGCTGCAGGGCGGGCAGGCTGGGACAGCTGCCTGGAAAATGGGGCCAGTGGGGTACCGAGAGCCAGAGATGACTAAGGCATGTCGCCGGACTCAGAAGGTGTCCCATCCAAAGGAGGAGATACTATGCAAATAGCTATGGTACGGGAGGCAGGAGGGTTCCATTCTGTCTGGGTTTGGTGGTAGGGGTGGTTTACAGAAGACCATTGAAGGTGATTTGACTTGACTTGAACTGGGCTTTGAAGGATGAATAGAAGTTCACCAGATTAAAAAAAAAAAATGGAAGAAGGGCATTCTAGGCTGAGGAGACAGCAAGTGCAAATGAGCAGTGGCTGAGATGTGGACAGGTGGGGGTAGAAGTGAGGCCAGGAGAAGTGGGCAGGCCTTCGGACGCCATGCTGAGGGGCTCAGGGTGGGCCCTGTATGATCAAGGAAGGGAGGTAGTCCCAGAGTGGGGCCAGAAGAGGCCTCTGGGCCCCGGGGAGGGGCTGCGAACTAAGAAGAGGTGCTCAGTTGGAACTCACTATACCTGAACAATGGGGCCCAGGGCAGGACACCCCTTGCGGAAGTGTCTGGGGCCCCTTTGGGACCCTTCAGGTCTCCCCATGCAGAGCATCGGCAGACACTCTGGGCCCCCTGTCCTGTGGTGGAGTCCTCTCCGGTAGAGGGCTGCAGGGCATGCAGTGCCCCGGCTCTCCCTGTTCTCCCTCGCCCCATCCCTGAAGACCAGGCCACCCCCCATGACAGCATCCCTTTAAGGACCCAATGCTGTCAGTAAGGCCCTTTCCAGCCTTCTCCTGTCCACGAATAACAAGGTGGCCCCTGTCCTAGAGTCGTTTTCTCTGTGGTGGGTAATACTGCACAATTTTGTCCTTTTACAGTTTCCTCTCTTGGCAGAACTCAAAATACTCTCACATCTGTCATCTCACGGGAGCGTAGAAAGAGTAGGCTCCGGGGCCAGCAGCGCTGGATTCCAAACCTGCCGTGGCACTCCCATGGGGAGCGGGGTTACCAGTCTGAGCCTCAGGGTTTTCGTCTCTAAAACACCTACACCTACCTCCTCAGGTAGTTCCAGAACCTACTGCCCGAGCAGGTGAAAGTCTGGCTCCCTGTCCACTGGACAGGCGGCACTTCCCTCCCATGCTTCTACACAGGCTCGCGTCTGTGTGATGGAGCGGGTCTGCTGACAGGCAGGGGAACCGAGAAAGGCCTGTGAGGTTTTGCCTTAAAAGGTGGCGTGAGCACTTAACACCTGTGCCTTTAACAGGCAGGCAGGCCAGTTACCTTGATGTTCCTTTAAAAAGTTCATGCAGCAGAACTTTCCTGACACCCCTTCTGTTCCAGGCACCGGCGGATACCGGGAATCCCGACAGGGATTCTGGAGAAGGGACATGTAAACAAGTAAATTGCAATGCACCGTAAGAAAGGAAAAGCGCTGTGGAGGAGGGGCGTGTGAGCCGGCCGGCCGTGGAGGGATCAGGAGGAGTCTGTCAGCTCAGGAGGAAGGGAGGGCGGGGTTCCAGGCAGAGGGACCCGCGTGTGCCATGCAGAGCCCATAGGAGACGTCTTGGTGTGGTGGGGCATCCGTGTTGGGGTTTATGACGACCGGCCCTGCAGAGCTCCCCGTCACGGGGAAGCATTCAAGGAAGCCGAGCACCCTGCCCCCTTGTCAGCTCGGGAGGGTCACGTCCAGGGCCAGTCTTCACAGTTGAAGAAGAATAGCATCAACAGGCTCCATGTGAAGACCAGATAGGCAGCCTCTAGTGCCGGGCATCGAGGAGCTTCCAAGGCTCTCCTTGGCTGGCGTGGAGGGCGTAAGTGACCCACGGCTCTGGAGTGGTCCTGGGGATGCTGTTGCTGCGTCTGTCCTGGGAGCAGGGATAGAGATGGGTGACACTGGGTCCCTGCCCCCAGTGCAGAGAGGGAGGTGGACAGGGCCTCCTATGCCCACGTGGCAGAGCTACTGACGCTGTCACCGGGGGGCATTCACAGAGCTATGGGACCATAGAGGAGGGGGAGCCAGAGGGCAGGAGCCGGGGGCATCCTCAGGAGGGAATCTTAGCCAGATGGTAGTCATACAAATCGTTCTTACAACTAATGATTACTTAGCACTTACTACCTGCCAGGCACTGTTCTAAGAGCTTTGGATGGATTTACCCTCAACTTGCACAAGTCCGCAGAGTGTCGTCATCTTCTTGTACAGAGGAGGATGACTGATGCACAGAGAGGCTGAGTCATTGTCCCAAGCATGCACAGCTGGGAAGTGGCCTAGCCAAGCCGAACCCAGGCGGTCTGGCCTCAGAGTCCACACTTGAACGGCCTAGGGCAGCCTAACACTAAGCCTTCTCCCAGAACTAGAGACACTGCCAGGGTTGGGACTATGCTTTGCTCTAGCACAGAGTAGGTACGCCCTAAAAACGTGTTCGCTAACAAGAATGCACAGATGCATGGATGAAATGGCCGTGGAAGAGGTGGGGCTGAAAATGAGGATGGGGACAGGCAGCGCAGAGGCTGCAGCTAGAGCAAAGGCCTCGGGTCCCAGCTGGCTTTGCCTCCAGGCACTGGCAGGTCCGGAGCACTGGACCAGAGAAAAGAGAGTTTGACCGGCAGCCTCCCTGGCCAACCCTGCCTGCCCGGAAGACCTGGCACCTTCCCCTGCAGCCCTCCCCACCCGCCCTGTCCCACGTGGGGAAAGGGCAGGTGCTGTGCTATTCATGTCCCTGTGCACTCTCTGTCACCCGTTCCCTCCAAGGCTCCCAGGGACTGATCTGGCAACAGGACCCCAAGCCCCCCATCCCCTTCCAGAGGCAGAGAAGGTATGCACCACCCAAGAGGGACCCAGGAAAGACAGTTCAAAACTTGTTCTTGTAAGAAATTGCTTTCTCACGGAGACTTCAAGGAGCAGGTGATTTTCAAAGACCCTTTCTTCAAGCTCTGTGGGCTGCGAATGGAAAACCAGGCTTGGGACCTAGCTCTGTGGCTTCCTGGCTGGGCACCCTCGGGTGATGAATTCGCTTCTCTGTACCCCAGTTGCCAGCTCCATAAAGCGGGAAGAGCAACAACTGCAGAATTAAAGGGGCTAATAAAGTGTGGGCGAAACTCCTGTACAGGACCGGACTCAGGGAACAGTGTTTCTCGGCTTCCTGCTTTGCTCCTGGGGCCTCGGTTTGCTCCATAAAATGAAGGTTGGAAGACATCGATCTTTAACACCTTTAACAGCTTTGACATCCTGGGATTCAAAGTTGCCAACACCAGTCGACTAGATACATAAATATATTTACACACACAGATACACTATGTGCCTTCCGGGTATGCGATGTAGTCATTTTTATAAACTTAGAATGTATATTAAGTGATATTTAGCATAAATATACAACTTACAGCGGTCTTATGTTTTCTTCTGGTTGCAAAAGTAGTACATAAGTTATTGAGAACATTTTGGAAGGTACCAGAAGAGAAAAAAAAGTTCACCCACTATTTCACATTGAAGACTGAGATACAGCCTCTTCGGTATTTAGTGAATTCCTCTCCCCCACTTTTTTTATGCACAGATTTCTTAAAAATCTATTTGGGATTCTACTCTGCATTCTATTTTTTAACTCGAGCGGAGCTGCTGGAGGAGGCCCCTGGGATGGGCTGCCGCCGCAGGGCCGAGAGGAGAGGTGCGGGAGGTGGTAGCTGACACAGCTGTCCCATGCCCCCCCCAACCCCCCCACCCCGCCCCGGGCGGCCGGCTGGAGGCATCTGACCCTCGGATGTTCCGTGTCTCTGGCGGGGGCACATTCTACGCTAATTTTAGCTTAGCCTCTCAGGCCTGCTGGCCTTGGGGCCCGCACATAATGGACGCCTTATGTAGACAGCTGCCAACAGTGCAGGAAGAAGCGTCCCACCTTAAAATGTTCCCCGTCACCGGCCAGTCCTCTGCTCGGGGAGAACAAGCCGGCTCCCTGTTCCTTCTCCCACCAGGAAGGGGCCGTTGTTGACGTTCATGGCCCAGCAGGCTGGACCTGGCGGGCAGGTGGCCCACCAAACACACGGGTGATTGCTTCTGTGGACGGGGCCGTGTTTTTACAGGACAGGCTTTGATTTGAGCTGGAACAGCTGAGAGATCTCCCGAGAAATGGCTGGGCTGTGTGTTTGCAGCCCGGCAGCAGGGTGTCTGAAATGTCACCGGCTGT